ATATATAAAGTAGGGTCTCTATCAAAGAAAACCAAAACAAAATATAATTCAAGAAAAATTTCCTGAAACACAATAAAATATATTTAAAAAACTACAGATTGAGTTGTACACAGTGGGCACATGCATGTAATCACAACACTCTGAGAGGCTGAGGCAGCAGGATCATGAATTTGGGATCAGCTGGGCAACTTGGAAATCTGGCAAGATCCTATCTCAAAAAATAACAAAAAAGGGGTTGGTGATGTACCTCAGTTCAAAGCCCCTAGATTCAATCCCCAGGAATGCCCCCCCCCGGAAAAAAAAAAAAACAAATTGAAAGGACAGCCATAGACACTGAGACAGTCTTATAAAACTCTAGACTTGATGGGAAGCTTTAAAAAATTAATTAAAAGAGGGCTGGGGATTTAGCTCAGTGGTTCTGCCACCTGCCTCACAACCACAAGGTTCCAAGTTCGATCCTTGGTACCAAAAAAAAAAAAAAAAGAGATGGAAGTGTAGCTCAGTGTGAAGACCCTGGGTTCAGTTTCCAGCACCACCACAAAACAAGCAAAACAAAAAAACCCTAGAACAAAAAAGAAAAATACCCTTTCAGCATCCAAGCATAAAGATGGCATTACTTGTAAGAGAAAAAAAATTAGATATACTTTGACAGCAAACTTTATAATAGAAATAAATGGAATTACAGTTAAAGCATTCAAAGAAAGAAAATGGGAGCCAAGGATTTTATACACTGTCAGACTTACCATTAGTTATAAAGGTTATATCAAAAGGATTCAGAACCCAAATTGAAGAGGTCTCACTACCCAAACATGAGAGTATTTTAGGCATCAACTAAAGATACCTGCAAGGGTTTAACTTACATAAAATATGATTAGATCTGTAAGTTCATATTAGTACCTTACCCACCTTAGCATGTATTCTCTTTTCCATATAAACTATACTACTGAATCACCAGTAATAAATGAGTAGTTCTTTTTTTATGGAAGTATAATAACCTACAAAGAAGGAATTCTAAAATTAGATCATTGTTTTGCACCTTATATTTTACCCTTTGAGCATCAATGTTTGTCACCATCACAACAAGAAACACAACTAGATGATACGTATCTGCTGATGGAAGAATACAAAGCCATGGAGAAGTTGCCTTGCTAAAAAAGGGGGAATTTTATAGCTTCAAGAACCAACAAATTCCAAGATTATAAGGTTGCAAGGAAATGGAAGATTATAAGGGGTTTTTTTGTTTTGTTTTTCTAGTAACCTATAGATCAAGTAGATAACCTGTAGAAAGTGTTGAGGATACCAGGTGCAGTGTCAATCACCTTAAGTCAAGATAGTGGTTATTTTTAGAAAGGAAAGAAGGCTTTTCAGGGGGAAGGAGGCTTCTATCCAAGAAATACATGTGTGTGTCCTTCATATTCTCTCATGGGTTGTTCATTTATACAGTGAGTTGGTAGACTGTTATGAATTTGTGCTTGCTTTCCTATTCTAATAGTGCTAACATTGACTGGTTGAAAAGTAGCTACTAGCTGGGGTCCCACCCCTAGGGATTCTGACTTAGAAGCTTTGTAGTAGAGTCTAGTTATCTTCCTGTTGTTTCATGTCCCATAGGTAGTTGTGTTGGAAAGCCACTTTCCTACCCTATTACCAGATTGTAATGCTGGGGCTTGGACACCATTGTCATCTTCATATTCTTAAACAATAGGCCAGTCTCTTGCTCTTAACTTTTCCATCTTTCCCGTCATCTCTTCCTGGACTATGAAATTGCTCTCCTAATGGTCTCTTAGTTGATGTTTGAATCTCTAATACTGGCCTTCAAGCTGTGGCTAGTATAATAATTATAAATTGCTGATTGGTTCACATTAATTTTGTGCTTGAAAGACAGATCCCCATCACCTTTAGAATAAAATTTAATTTCCTTGAAGGATCCTCCATAAGCTAGCTGTTGGGTACTTTGCTGGACATCTCTATTACTACAGAAAGGTCCCTTCCTTCCCTAGTAGTAGTGATCCTGAACTGTTTTGAAATCTCTCAAAAGTATTCTTTTTCATGTTTGCCTGTCTTAGTGTGTTCTGTTCTTGGAATCACCCATTTTGCATTTTTGGAATTCATCTTTGAGGACTATGAGATCTATCACCTGTGATGAAGCCTGTTATAATAACACTTCTCTTTTAAGTGGAATTATTTATTCTTTCCTGATTAGACCTTCCCTGGTGTGAATTTTTATCATAGTCCCTGGACCTATGTTGATACTTACTTGTCTACAAGCTTTTCTTTATAGTGATACAGTTAACCCTGTGAAGACAAAGGGCTATTCTTGTCTTGGAATTCCTAGCATAGTCCCTGGCACATGGTCTGCCTCTGCCCTTTTAGAAGTGCAGTAAATTCTACACATTTCTCTGAACAGATTGTCCTCCTTAAATTTGAAGAAAATGATGCACATTTAGCTTTCTGTGCCTCCTTATTTGGCATACATGACTTGTAGAATGGTGGAAACTTGAACATTTATTGTTTAAAAAATAAAAGAATCCTTATATCAAAGGAAATAGAATGCACAAGAGCCTAAAATTAGCATAATACCTATTGATTTTGTAATTCAACATCTTCTATTTGTTAATTATAATTTTGAATACAGAGTTAAATTAGTGCTGCTGATTTATAATTATTTCATAGGTTCCATGGTGATGACTACTTTGTAAAAAGTCCCAAAATGATCAGCTTTCGATATCAGCCATTCATACTCCTTTTTTTGTAGCCTTCTTTGAATCCAGAAGCTGGCAAACACAATCAGCTATGCAGACCTATTGGGACCCCTTCTGGAGTGTGGGGTAAGTAGATTTTGCCATTTTAAAAGCAAAACTTTTATTTTTCTGTTAGGGAGGGGCAAAAATTCTTGGTCACTGTTTCGTTGTTTGTGTCTCCTTTCTCATCTAATCCATTGACCTATGGTAACTGACACTTAATAGTTCTTCAGTAACTTAGTGTTTACAGAGATAGCAGATTGCTTTGCCCCACAGAATACCATTGACCCATAATTATGATAGTGAAGTTAGAATACAGACAATTGGAAGTTTGCCTGATTTTGGAAGCGAATTTTAAGTAAAAGGAGAAAAATGTAACGTATATGAAGTGATTTTTGAATTAACATTTTATAGATTACATTTTTCAGTTAGTATATTTTATGTGTTATGATTGTCTCCTAAATATATGGCAAATATACATACATAGCATTCCTTCATGTTTCTAAACACACTTCAGAAATGTTCTTTGAGGGATGGGGTTGTATTCAGTGGCAAGGGTAAGGCCCTGGGTTAGATCCCTAGCTTTGGAAGGGAGGCAATTGAAAGGTTATGTAGTACCACATTTATGAATATACCATTTTGTTCAACCAGGTTCCAGTTGTTGGATTTTTTTGGCAGACAGTTATGCCTGTTGTGTAGCACAGGGGGAAAACATAAGTGCACACATTGATTTGTATTTGTTAGGAATAGTAAGATGTAAAAAATTAACAGAAAAATCTGTTTCAAACCAAACCTGATATATGGCACTTGAATCCTTGGCATTTACAAATTGAACTCTCCTGCCCACTTCTTTGGACATATTTGGTAGCATATTGGAAAGGCTTTATTATCCTGAATGAATCTAGTGCTGTTGGATTAAAGTGATTGTTATGCTTTCTCTTTGTTAATGATATATTTTTGCTTATCAGAGCGTCACAGAACAGACTGCTTTCCCCAATTACTTCATCTCACTCCATTCCTTTGCTGACAGAAGCTGCTACCCTTTGATATATTCTGGTTTGGTCTGATGGAACACACTATACATTATATAGATTGTGGTCAGGCTAGAGATTTAGCTCAGTGGTTCCACCACCTGCCTCGCAAGTACAAGGACCCGAGTTTGATCCCCAGTACCAAAAAAAAAAAAGAGAGAGACTCATATATAGGTTGTGGTCCTAAAGCGCTAACATCTTTGTGCTTTGTAGCCACTTTGTGAACTTAGTATCAAGTACTGCATATGCTACCTTTTTTCCTTGAGTTCCCAAGTGTCACTTTTTTTTTTTTTTTGGTACTGGGGATCAAACCCGGGACTTTGTGCTTGCAAGGCAGAGGGCGGAACCACTGAGCTAAATCCTCGGTCCGAAAGTAGTGTCACTTTTGAGAGTAACTGTTAAGTGCACACCAGGAAATGTTTGTCCCTTGTTATCAACTGTCAGCTCCTTTGTTGAAGGTGTGACCTGTAAACTGTGCTTTGTGTTACTCAACAGGTTTGACATTTCTCTTGTCCCTGTTGTTATATTTACAGAAAACCCACCTAGTGCCAAGCAACCTTCCAAGATGCTAGTAATCAAAAAAGTTTCCAAAGAAGATCCTGCTGCTGCCTTCTCTGCTGCATTCACCTCACCAGGATCTCACCATGCAAATGGAAATAAATCATCAGCCATGGTTCCAAGTGTCTATAAGAACCTGGTTCCTAAGCCTGCACCACCTCCTTCCAAGGTATAATTTGGATTCAACATAATGAATTTAATGTAGCAGGTTTGAGAATAATCAGAAACCGTTTATTAATTTTTTTTTTCTTCCTGTTGAATCATCAGTATTGTACCATCTCCAGACTCTGCAGCTGACACCTTAACTTTTGTTTGTTTGTTTTGGTTTTTTGGTACCGGGGATTGAACTTGGGACCTTGTGCTTGCAAGGCAGGCACCAGAACCACTGAGCTAAATCCCTGGCCCAGACAACTTAACTTTTATTTCATAAACCTGTTCCTTCTAATTTGCTATTTCCATTAACATCTGTATGTCTGATCTCAACATCTTCACTGCTTCTCTCCTAGTCCTCCTTATCTTCCTAACTCACCTTCCTCACCAAGCCAATTAATTACAAAGTTCCTATCAGTTATTTCCTCTATGCTGTTCTTGTTATCTCACACTATTGTATACTCTTCTATTTTCTCATCCCTCTTATGTTCATCCTCCACAAAACTTCCAGAATGATTATCCTTTTTTTTGGTTTTTTTTTTTGTATTGGGGATCAAACTCAGGACCCTGCACTTGCAAGGCAGGCAGCGGCACCACTGAGCTAAATCACCAGCCCCAGAATGATTATCTTAAAACAATTAAATACAGTCAAGTGTGGTAGCACACACCTTTTTGTCTCAGCTACTTAGAAAGCTGGGTCTGGGGAACACGTGAGCCCAGGAGTTTGAGCCCAGCCTGGGCAACAGACTGAGAGTTCATTTCCAAAAATAAACAACATATCCCATCCCTTCCTAAGTCTCTTCAGTGACTCTAAACCATGTATAACAGGGAATCAGTTTTTTTGTAGTGGGGGGAAGCCAGATAATAAATATTTTGGTCTACTCCAGATATATATGATTTTTGTTGTATATTGCATATCTTCCTTTTTTAATATCCCTTTAAAAATGTAAAATCAGTAATAGCTCATGAGCCATATAGAAATGCTTCAGACTAGATTGGGCCTGCGGTCGTGGTTTGTCAATCACTGATCTTACAATACATTGTTCACATTACTTAACAGTATCATGTGTAGTTCTTCAACCTTAGTCCAATCTATCTTATCTATCTTACTCCCCCTTTTTTCTCTTCTGGGAGGAAATAATTCTTCAGAGTCATGCCATTCACTTTGTGAATTATTTTCTATCACATACATCTGAAGATCTAATTGTTCCTTGTATCTCTACGATTATATAGCACTCTGCATCTTTTAATTATAATAGCTACTATACTTTATTGCATCTGTTTGTTTTCTTACGTGTAACTTTAAGGGCAGGCTTCAAGTCTTCCTCATATTTACATCCCTACCACACTTACATAAGTGCAGAATAATTGGATGAATTCCAACCACTGTAAGAAAACATAATTAAAATATACTGTGTTGGGCCAGGGATTTAGTTCAGTGGCACTGCACCTGCCTCGCAAGCACAGGATTCAATCCCCAGTACCAAAAATATATGTATGTACCAAAAAATGTATGTATGTACGTACGTATGTACTGTGTTATTAAAAGAAAAACCAAATGGCTATAGAGTGATGCACACCTGTAATCCTAGCTGCTCTGGAGGCTGAGACAGAAGGATTGCAAGTTTGAGACCAGCCTGGGCAGCTTGGTGAGACCTAGTTTCTGTAGGGAACAGGGGAAGGGGACGTTACCAGAACCTCTGCAGTGAGTCCTGGTCTCCTGCGAGCCACAGCAGCACACAGCGAATTACAGGAAAGGTAGACAAATGAGACTGAGAAGAAGCTGAGCTTTGGGTCTGATCAGTGCCGCTCTGGGCAGCAAAGACAAAAGCCCCCAGCTTACTGCACCCTTTATTCAGTACATCGGGAGAAACAAACATAACAGATGACTTGCAGAGAGTTCAGTACATCGGGAGAAACAAATGTAACAAATGACTTGTAGAGAGTTCAGTAGTTCACATTGGGATAAACAAGGTGTAACAAAAGGCTTGCAGAGAGTTCAGTACATCTCTGGCAAACAAGATGTTAATCAGTCCAAGAACAATGAGGAACTGAGCAGATGTTTGTTCTCCCAGGATGTTTTCAGCTCCCAGGATGTTTCTTGTCCTGGAGAATCACAGCATCACTGGATCACTGAAGTCTCAGTTGTGACCCGAGGCCAAACTGGAGTTGTTCTGTAGCTGGGCTGTAGGCAAGAGGCTAACCAAATGATTTTTCCCTAGAATTATGTAGCATTGCTCCCAACAAGTTTCAAAAACTAAATAGAGTCAGGCATGTGGTTTAGGTTGAAAACCTTGTACTCAGTCCCCAGTAATGCAGAGGAAGGGGGATGGGAGGGACCAGTGCACGTTAATACTCACTTTGCATTGTGCACAAGGCACTGTGTTTGGTGCTTATGAGTAATAGAAGCACTGCATCAGTTAGGACTGTGTGAACTAAAAGTTTATGGGAATGACAGAACATAGGCCATGTCATTATGGAAAAAATAAAACAATAACTGAATTTTTTTTCCAGTATTGGGGATTGAACCCAAGGCTTTCTCACCAGACTACATCAGCCTTCTCCCTCAACTCTTCACCCATACTGTGATCAAACCTAGGACCTTCGCAATGAGCTACAACCCCAACCTTGTTTTTTATTTTGAGACATGGTCTCACTAAAATTGCCCAGGCTGGACTTGAACTTGTGATCTCCTTCCTCAGCCTCCCTGAGTGCTGTGATTACAGGCATACACCACCATTCCTGGTTTATTTTTTAATTTGGAGACAGGGTATTGCTAAATTGCCATGGCTGGGCTTGAATTTAGGATCCTCCTGCCTCAGCCTCCTAAAGTGCTGGGATTACAGGTATGTGTGTCATCACACCCAGCCAAAATAATACCAGATTCTAATAACATCCTAAATAGATTTAAACACTATACACATAATGGCATACCTCCAGTGACCTAACTCACTAGATAATACCTCCTAAAGGTTCCACTACTTCCCAGTAGCTGAGGACCAGGCCTTCACAATATTGGTCTTCTGGGGACATTTGAGATCTAAACTATAACTGTTATCTTGGAAAGGAATACTCTACTTTGGGATACTTACTACTCTGATAGGGAAGAGAAAGAATGAATTCAGGTTGGAGAGAGCAACTATTACAAAGAAAAGAACAGTCCAGTATGAGAGTTAAACAGCTGAACTGTGAAATTGACAAGTTCTCTTTTGCTCCTCCTTTGCAATATGATTTTGGGCAAGTTTCTTAACCTCTTCGTCTTATCTCAGTTTCTTCATCTGTAAAAAAGAGTTAATACCTACCTTGTAGGATTCTGTTTTGTTTGTTTGTTTGTTTGGTACCAGGGATCAAGCTCTGGACCTTGCGCTTTCGAGGCAGGTGGCGGAACCACTGAGCTAAATCCCCAGCAATACCTACTTTTTAGGGTTTCTATGAGGTTTTATGAAGTACTTCAAACTGACATACAGTAAATGACAGCATACCTCATGTTTGTCCCATCCTTAAGAATTTAGTTTTTATAGGCTGGGCATGGTGACACACACCTGTAATCTCAGAAATCTTAAAGGCTAAGACAGGAGGATGACAGCTTCAAACCCAGCCTGGGCAATTTAGCGCAAGACCTTGTCTTTAAAAAAAAGAAAAAACCAGAAAGGGCTGGAGGTGTAGCTCAGTATGAAGGCCCTGGTTTCAATTCCTAGTGCTGAAAAATAAATAGCTTTCATAAGTGTTACTTCATTTGAGAGTCTGCAACAATTGTTAAGACTAAAGAAACTATAAAAATGAGTAAAACAGTCATATATTCAAAATCTCATAGACATTTTAAAGGTGAAGTGGTAAAGATAAAAATCATGATACAGAGCTTAACATCACTTCATCTCTATTGTGAGTCAAGGATCGAATGAATATCAAAAACTGATATAAAGCTGTTTGTTATTTCCTTTAAAAAGTAGTGAAGGAGCCGGGGATTTAGCTCAGTGGCACTGCGCCTGCCTTGCAAGCACAAGGTCCTGACTTCGATCCCCAGTACCATAAAAAAAAAAAAAGTAGTGAAGTCTGATCAGGATAGTGACAGTTTGCAATGAAGGAATGCAGTAATGGTGGATAGTGGGAAGGAAGTTTTAACCACTAGGGGTTGAACACAAGGCCTCACACATACTAGACAAGTGTTAAAATCTTGTGCCACTCTGTAAGGCTGTTATTTTGAGAAAATTATTTGATTTTGCTAAATGTTTTCTCAACAAAAAAGTTGGAATTAAAGTAGTTTTTTTGTTTTTTGTTTTGGTACCAGGGATCGAACTTGTGTCCTTGTGCTTGCACAGCAGGTGGTGAAACCACTGAGCTAAATCCCCAGCCCTGGAATTAAGGTTTTGAAAGTACTTGGAATATAGTTCCTGACATATCCTATTAAGTACTCAGTAAATAGAAGTTTAGAAACCATATGAGTTTGTTTAGCACAAGTCAAATGGATGGGGCCTTCTAGACAGAAGGAACTTAAAATTTCACCCAAAAAACTGGGGTATAGTATGCCATATTTGGGTTAAGGCAAATGATTCAGTGTACCTTGTATATGGGAAATTGTGAAGTAAGACTTGATTGAAGCCTTTATAAAAGCTTGCGAGAGAGGTTTTGGGCAGATACAGTTTTACATATTACATATCTACGTAATTTTAACAATTTAAAATGTTTGGGTACACATTAGTTTTTCTGATGAAGTTCACCTAAGAAAAGGTAGCAGAAGAATATTTGACCCTAGAACACTAGAGAATGGCTACATCCATTGAAAGAATTGAAAGGAATTCAGGAAATAAGAGTGGAAGGAAGCTAGAGAATGACGCATCAGGGACTTAAAAAGAAGGAAAGGGACAGGTTCATATTTTTGGTAATTAGCACTATCTCATTCCCCAAAGAAGATGCATTTAAAAAGAGCTGGAAATATAGCCCAGTACAAAGCTCTTGATAGTTTAATCCTTAACATGGTCAAAACAAAGCTAAAGTTGCTATGAAGTTCACTTTAGTGGGTTTTTACATACATAATCATGTGATGCAAAAGGGAGTAGGAAGCTGACATGTTGCACGCCTGTAATCCCAGCACTCAGGAGGTTGAGGGAGGAGGATCACTGCAAGTTCAAGGCCAGCCTAAGCTATATAGAGAGATCCTATCTCAAAAAAAGAAAAAGAAAAAAGGGAAATAAGGGAAAAATTATTTTCTCCAGTGAGCAGCTCAGTATGGCATGGATTTTACTGAAAACTAAGAATAGAATTGAGCAGAGATTTAGGGATTCTATGTAAGGCTACCTTTTTTGCTACTATGACAGAAACCCAAATGTTTCTCTGCTCTGAGGTGACGATGTCAAAAGAAAGAGAAGCCTTCTTGTAACACTCTAGCTCTGAGAAAGCCACAGATCATTTTAGTTAACTTGACACAAGCTGCCATCTTTTGATTTTCACCAGTGCAAAAGCAAAAGCAAAAAAAAAAACCACACTTCATTCTAGTTGGGTCACTGTCTCTCCGCTCTACCTGTACATTATTTTTAGAGGCATTGTGGGATAGTGAAAAGGCAGTATGGTGTACTAGCTGAGTAACCTTGAACAAATTGCAAAACTCTATTGTCCTCAGTATCATTCTTTGTAAAATAAAATCAACATAATAATTGGTTTAAGAATTAAAACCATGTGGGCCAGGGATTTAGCTCAGTGGTTCCACAGCCTGCCGCCTGCCTCACAGGAGCAATGACCCAAGTTGAATTAAAACCATATGAAGGTCCTAAGTTTGGTCCGCAGTACCAAAAAAAACACCCATGTGGTAAACACCTAGTACATGTTAAATACTCAGCAAATCTAATTCTCTTTCTAAAGCTTTTATGTCCTCTATAATAGCCTTCATCAAAGAAGTGACCCAAGAATTGTTTTTTATTCAGACCCTTCCTTTTTCCTGTAGGTTTCTTAGTTCTGATTGCTTCGTTCTGCAAAAATAAACAGAAGTTTTCTACTTGCTTTGTCCCCACTCTATTGACCCGCCTCATGTTTCTTGACCTCCTCATATAGTATGATTGACTCAAAGCATGGAGTATTCAAGCTGTACTATGTTGCCATCAGAGTTGAAGTCATAGCCTGACCCCACAAAGCTGAGCAAAAGAAGGTTTAAGCCTCTGCACTAAATAAACCAGGATTTTCTAACCATTTCTGGTGGCTACCCTGGCCTATAACTAGCTTCTTGGCATCAAAAGGCCTACAAAACAGCATTTTTTCTGATGTAATTTAGGGAAGTTAGCAATCTCTGTAAATGAAAATATCTGCCAGGTACAATGATGCATGCCTATAGTCCCGACAGTCTGGGAGGCAAAGCCAGGAGGGTTTCAAGTTCCAGCACACCCTGGGTGACTTAGCAAGACCCTGTCTCAAAACTTTAAAAGTAGGTGGAAAATCTGTTTCTCAAATTTGTATGTACTTTTAAATGCTTTGAGAACTAGCCCAATAAAGAAAGGTGTTAAGGGTGGGTGTGTAATCCCAGCTTTTTAGGGAGCTGAGGCAGGAGAACTGCAAGTTTAAGGCCCCCTGGGCAACTTAGTGAGACCCTGTCTCAAAATTTTTAAAAAGGATTGCAAGTGTAACTCAGTGCTAGAGTGCTTGTTTAGCATGGGCAAGGCCCTGGATTCAGTCCCCAGTACCTGAAAAAAGAAAACTTTTGAACTTTAATCATATCAGCAACTCTCAGACTAGCTGAACCTGAAACTCTTTCTGAGAAATACCTATTAACATCCCATGACTCTTCTGTGTCCCATCTGCTTTTATCCTTAAAATACCTAATCTTAGAAGCAGCACACCTCTCAAGTACGTTGAGGCAGGTAAGCTGTAGGCACTTAGGTTTCCACATAACATTTCATTCTTTATGATTTTATAGCTGAACTATTTGTGTGCTTCCTTTGACTTATTTGTTTTATTCCCATGTAGCCCAATGCATGGAAAGCTAACAGAATGGAACACAAATCAGGATCCCTTTCCTCTAGCCGGGAGTCTGCTTTTACCAATCCAATCTCTGTTACCAAACCAGTGATACTGGTTGGTGGTGCAGTTCTAAGCTCTCCCAAAGAGGTAAGAATTACGGTTTTTCTAAATTTGCCATTTCCTGTATACTTACACTAAGATATGCAGTGTGAGTATAGGTAGAATGACATTTCTTTTTAACTATGGTCAGCAAAGAGTTCTTCAGTAATGTCTCCCATTAGGATCCCAAAGTGGGTAGTACCTGGGTGGAGTAAATGCTCTGATAGACCAAGATTGTGTCAAACTGATATTCTGCTGGTTTCTGTAGAAAGATCAAAAAGGTGCTATATATGCCAACAAGTCTAAACTGTAGAAACCATGCAAAATTATGTTAAATAAAAAAGCTGCTTATTTTTGGTAAAAGACGGTGATAAATAGGCTGCCAGGTTTTAGAAATCAGTGCCATGTAGAAATAACTCAGAGAATCCCACTTCTTGCTCTTTGCTGCCCGGAACAACCTATTTGTGATATTTGCCCAGAGTCCCTCCAGCACTACCCCTCCAGTTGAGATCAGCTCCTCTCGTCTGACCAAGTTGACCCGCCGAAACACCGACAGGAAGAGTGAGTTCCTGAAGACTCTGAAGGATGACCGGAATGGAGACTTCTCAGAGAACAGAGACTGTGACAAGCTGGAGGATGTAAGAGCATAGGGTATTTTCTTCTGTTAACTATGTGCTCTTTTTCTTCTCAAGGGTAGAAGAAGTGGCAAGATTTTTTTTTTTTTTTGGCAATGGGGATCGAACTCAGGACCTTGTGCTTGCAAGGCAGGCGGTGGCACAGCTGAGCTAAATCCCCGGCCCACAATATTTTTAAATGTATATATTATATGTAGGAATATCATGCTCCTAGAATGTGTGGTAAAGTGAGTTTAATCCATTGTTCTTTAGAGATTCAAATGAGAGTTTATTTTAAAGACCTTTCAGTTCACCTACTGAGGGGCATTTTGATTACTTCTGTAAGTTTCAGCAATTATGATTAAAGCCACTATAATCAACTCTGTGCAAGTTTTGTGTAGGCATTAGTTGTCAGCTGCTTTAGGTAAATAGATACCAAGGAGTGGTTGCTGGGTCTTAAGGTAAGAGAATGTTTAGGTTCATAAACTGTCTGCCAAAGAGATTGTACTATTGGCCATATGTCTGTTCAAGTCTTTAGCCCATTTTTAAATGAAATTATTTCTTTATCCCATTTTAAGAGTTTTTTATATCTATGTTAGATAATAGTCTTTCATCAAATAGGACTTTCTTGGTTTTTTCTGCAGTGCTGGGAATTTAACCCAGAGCCTTTGTGCTGAGCTGCATCCCCAGATCTTTCTAGGTTTTTTGAGACAGGGTTTCACTATGTTGCCCAGACCAGGCTCAAACTTGACAACTCTCTCTGCCTTAGCCTTCCAGAGAGCTAGGATTACAGGCATCCGTCCATGCCTGGCATCAGATATGTCTTTTATAAATACTTTCTCCCTGTCTATGGCTTGTTTTTCACTCTCTGACATTGTTGTTTACAGAACAGAAAATTTTTATTTTTGCCAGGTGTGGTGGCGCACACCTGTAATCCCAGCATACAGGAGGATTGCCACGAGTTCCAAGCCATCTTGAACTATATAATGAGACCTTCTTTCAAAAAAAAAAAAAAGGAAAAAGAAAATTTATTTTCACTGAAGTCCAGTTATCATTTGTTGTTTTTATGGATCATGCCTTCTGTATTTAAAAAGGTCATTGCTATACTCAGGATGATCTGCATTTTCTCCTGTGTATGAATTTTTAATTTGAAATTAGATTTGTAACTTTTTTAGTTATTCTTGTGAAGGATGTAAGGTCTGTGTTTGGGTTTGTTTTTGGTTTTTTATTCTGAGACAGGGTCTCACTAAATTGCCCAGGCTGGAACTTGGGATCTTTCTGCCTCAGCATTATGGTCCCATTTCTCTACCCACCTACCCCAACCCTCCCAGTGCTGGGATTACAGGCATGTACCACCTCACTTGGCCTTCTCTTGCTTCTTAGTAAATCTTGAGGTCAGACAGTACTGTATTAATCCTCCAGTTTTGTTTTTCAGTTTTATGTTAGCTGTTCTGGGGCTTTTGCCTTTCCATATAAATTTCAGAAACAGTTTGTTGATGTAGCAGGTCCCCACTTCTAACTGGTAGAAACCTATGGGCCAAGGTTATCTTCTGGAAAGCACTTGTTGGCTTCTGACTCCTTGGTTTTGTAGGTTGCTTATCTCTCCAGAAAAGGTGGTTAACTAAGTGTGTCCTTTTCCTTATTGCAGTTGGAGGACAACAGCATACCCGAACCAAAGGAAAATGGGGAGGAAGGCTGTCTTCAGAATGGTCTCGCTCTCCCCATTGTGGAAGAAGGGGAGGTCCTCTCACATTCTCTGGAAGCAGAGCACAGGTGAGGAGTTCACAAAGAATATTGTGTAAGACCTATAAGGGCCGTGAACACACTTAGGACATCCCAGTCTGACCCACAGGGTGGTGTTTCCACAAGCACCATAACTTTTTGACTGTGTGGACTCCAACCTCCTTTATTGTCTCACAGACTTGGCCAGCTTTTTCACGATGCATGCTGCAAAGTTTTCATGTAGTTTCAAACTCAGTTTATGGCTCCAGTCAGGGAGGAGAGGGAAACTGTTTCCTGGGGCGGTTGTGCTGGCTCAAGTGAGTGGTTACCATAAAATCCCTTTAAATGAGCCCTGGGTAGCCTGAGACCCTCATTTGTGGAACCTGATGTTTAAACAAAGGCCTTGAACACAGAGAAGCCATCTTTCTGGGCAACTGGATGATGAGTGGGGCCTGCCAAGTATGGCAGTACCATCCTGAAAGGGATTTGCAAGGTTAGAAGGCACAATGCCATGAAATTGAAAGAGAACTTAGGTACATGCTTGTTCACAGGGACAGAAGTGAAATTTCTTCTATTTTGATGAGACTGAGAGTCATTATAGTTTGGTTCTTTTCTTTATACTATCATGTTTTCTGCTTCTACTGTCTCTTCAAATAGCTCTTTCTCTCTCAATGTAGAGATCTCCCATTTAATTATGACCACTTGAGTAGGTTGTCCCATGGCGGGAATGAGGGGGTTCCTCCTCTGACATTCATTGCTCTGGACAAGAAAGTTTTTTGTGGAAAGCGATGAGCTTCCCACTTGGACTTACTGGTGTCATATTTCCTTTGCCTGTCCTTCTGCCTCCATCAGGTTATTGAAAGCAATGGGATGGAAGGAATATCCTGAAAATGATGAGAATTGCCTTCCACTCACAGAGGATGAGCTCAAGGAGTTCCACATGAAGACAGAGCAGGTATGTCATAAACCCTCCTTTAACTATTAGGAGAGAAAGAAGTCTGTATAGTCCTTGCCATTAGGAAGCCCTAAAGTTTAAAGTGATTAAAAGATCTTGAAAAAGAAACTAAAGTAAGTTCCCATAGCAGAAATATAAAGGTGGGACTGAGCTCTGCGTGGGCAATAAGGGATCTCCATTAGTGGATAACAAACCAAGCCAGTGACTAGCAGAACTACAAAAAGTAAAATGTTTGTCCTCACAGCTCTCACTCCTTATCAAAGTCACAAGGCTGATCTCAAAGTCTTGAGTTCTCAGTCTTTGGGGGTTTTGGTTTTTTTGTTTGTTTTTGTTTTTTGAGACAGGGCCTCTTTTTGTAGTTCAGGCTGGCCTTGAACTCATTGTGTAGCCTGGGTGCCCTCAAACTCTTGGAGATTCTCCTGCCTCAGCCTCCCGAGTGCTAGGATTATGAGCTCTCAGTCTTTAAGAAAGAGATGTATACCTTCATCTACTTCTGGCCCTGTAGTTCCCTTGTGGTACTCTGGCCAGTGCAAAGAGGTAAAAAGGCCCATCTAAAATTTATTCAACAAATGCTTGAGCCACAGGGATAGTGCATGCCTGTAATCCCAGCTACTTAGGAGGCTGAGGCAGGAGAATTGCAAGTTTGAATCTAGCCTGGGCAACTTACCAAGACACTTTCTCAAAATACAAAGGCCTGGGCTGTCCGGGGATTTAGCTCAGTGGTTCTGGTGCCTGCCGCCCAAGTGTAAGGTCCTGAGTTCGATCCCTGGTACCCAAAAAAGAAAAAGAAAAAACAAAGGCCTGGGGTGGTAGCTAAATGAGGCCCAGGGTTTAACCCCAGTACTGTACCAAAAAACAACTTGGATTCTTTCTCTGAATAAAACACTGCTAAATCATAGGGTTTACAGCAGTGAACAACACAAATGAAGTTTCTGCAGAGCCCACTGACCTGACAGTTCTGGTGGCAAGTATTTAAAGCATAATTGCTGGGCATGGTGGTGCATACCTGTAATCCCAGCACTTGGAAGGCTAAGGCAGGAGGATCGCTGCAAGTTTGAAGCCAGCCTGGGCTATATAGTGAGATCCTATCTCCAAAAAAGGGGTGGGAGCAGGGTTAGTTCAGTGGTTCCGCTACCTGCCTCACAAGTGCAAGGACCTGAGTTCGATCTCCGGTACCAAAATAAAGTAAGTATAATTGATGTTGCATAAAGGAACAATGTACAAGATGACTTTACCACTCAGAACCCTATTAGAAACAAGGAATCTCATACTGAATCAGAATCTGCACTCTAAGACAATCATGGGTCGTTCATTTGCACATGAAAGTTTGAAAAGCACTGGTATGAAATATCTAGCAGGGATTTAGCTCAATGGCGCCACACCTGCCTCGCAAGCACAAGGTCCTCAGTTTGAACCCCCGTACCAAAAAATATCTTAAGACCACCCCCTTTGCCAATATTCTGCTTCTGAGCAGCTCTTTTTTTTTTTTTTCTTTTTCTTTTTGGTGCCAGGGATCGAACTCAGGACTTTGTGCTTGCAAGGCAGGCGGCGGAACCACTGAGCTAAATCCCCGGCCCCAAATATTCTGCTTCTAAACTAAGGCCTGGCCTTGGCCAGTTCCATGTGTCAGTGTAGTCATTGATGAGTTTTCTTTTCTCTTTCTTCCATGCTGTCCACAGCTGAGAAGAAATGGCTTTGGAAAGAATGGCTTCTTACAGAGCCGCAGTTTGAGCCTCTTCTCCCCTTGGAGAAACACTTGTAAAGCAGAGTTTGAGGAATCAGACGCCGAAACAAGTAGCAGTGAGACATCAGATGACGATGCCTGGAAGTAGGCACAGAATTGTTCACAGTTCATCTGAACCAGTAAACTCAGCTTGTGTGTTTCGGGAATATACAAAAGAAATTGTTGTTTTCCTTTTCCTTTTCTTATGTTGAATACTTCATGCACAAGGGAAATAATCATATCCCAAAGAGAGACCAGTTGGCTTGTTGAGCTTTTGTTGTTGTCCTTTCCTGTTACCTGCTTAATAGAGATGTTTGTGTGGTGGGAAAGATTTTTAAAATACACATACAGAACATACGGGGCAATGCACAGGTGGGAGCTGGCAGTGCAGAGATGGAGAGGAGCGGATGCTGGCCTGCAGCAGCAGCTTCTACTACCAGCCCTTGGGGCACTCACCCCTGTGCTCAAGCAATCATTGTCAATGACAAAGTGACTATTGAAGTTATAATTGTATTAAATTAATGCTAATAATTTGGATATTTTATTTTATTTTTGGCTGCTCGGGTAACTTAGCCCTTAACCAAGCATATGGTTTTTTTGTTTTTGTTTTCCTTTTTTGGGTACAGCTGTAAAATATTTGGATATAGGAAATGTGTTATTCTTGCAGCCTTGATATTCAGGGTGGATTGTAAAATATAAATTTTTGTGAGATTTCAAAGATTAAGATTATTTTGATAACATTATTTACAGATTTAAAAAGATGTGGTTATCACAAGTCTGTTGAGGGGGAAAAACTACTGCATAAAATAACTAACTTGGAATAAATATTTTGCATCGTTTTGGATTGTCCTGTGTAAGAAGTATATTTTCTGGTGCACACCTGTCATCCCAGTACTTAGGAGACAGAGGCAGGAGGATCACTGTGAGTTCCAGGCCAGCTTGAACTACATGGTGAAACCCTGTCTCAAAAAAACCAAAAAGAAAAAAAATGTATATTTTCTTTAAAATTAAGGGTAGAAAATAAAAATAAAATAAAATTAAGGGTAGATTCTCTTTTAGAGGAAGTGTTTTTAGAAGTTTGGAAGAAATCTGGATTCAGACACTCCTGTTTCTCCTACCAGAGCTGTACACCCCACACTGGGATGCTAGGCATGCTGGGCAAGCACTTAACCCATGTGCCATGTCTCCACCCCTAGCAGATATTTTTTTGTTGCAGAAAATCCTTTGCAATAGGGCCAGGGATTTAGCTCAGTGGCGCCTCGCCTGCCTCAAAAATCCAAGGTTCGATCCCTGGTACCAAAAGAAAAGAAAGAAAATCCTTTCCAATAAATTATCAATAATGTAGTCAGAAACTCAATTTTCGTCCCTTCAGCCATTTTTCAGTATCTATGTATATACATATTTCCAAATGAAAATGTTTTAAGGAAGATCTGTGCCTCGGTTTTCCTACTAAGTGAGAACTTTGAGGGGAAAGACTTGAGCCAGTGCAGGCTAGATGGCTGGTGAAGGAAATGAGTTATTTCATTCTGTATATCCCAAGCCACTATCACATGTCCTAGGCCATTATGCAAGGCTCAGGATGCAAGGAGTAACCAGCCCAGTAGGGGAGAAAATAGAACAGTTGTATTAGAAAAGATGAAGCCATAATCCTAGCACTGGGGAGGCTGAGACATGAGGATTGCTGTGAGTTCAAGGTCAGCCTGAACTACATAGTGAGACCCTGTTTCAGAAAAACAAAAGAAGTTAGTTTTAAAATGTAAAGAAAAGGGCTGGGGATTTAACTCAGTGGTGCCGCCGCCTGCCCCCGCAAGCACAAGAACCTGAGTTCGATCCCTGGTACCAAAAAAAAAAAAAAAAAAAAAGATGAAACCTTAGGCCAAAGATTTGATGGAGAAGTAGAAGTTAATGGATATCTGGCACTAAACACTGACATATTTGCTGTCCCTTCATTAGTTTGTCCCTGGTAGATACAGGGGACTACGTTACCGTATGTCGTACAGGGAAGTAAGTAGACAAGTTCTAGGCCTCATTGCAAGTTAGAAAGATAACTTGCAGTGGGAGGGAAGACCCTTTCAGTGCTATGCAGAGTTCCTACTGCTAGTGGTATAGTATAAGCAGTCCATATGCAAACTGGTGATAGGAGTTGAAACAGCAGAGAGAATTAACTATGAAGCTGAGTGTGGTGATGGACACTTGGAATCCCAGCACCCTCAGAGGCTAAGGCAGGAGAATTGCAAGTTTTTTGTGGGTTTTTTTCTTTTGGTACTGGGGATCAAACTCGGGTCCTTGTGCTTGCACAGCAGGCAGTGAAACCACTGAGCTAAATCCCCGGCCCAAGAATTGCAAGTTTGAACTGACTTTCAGCAACTTAGCAATTTAGCAAGACCCTACATCAAAGCAAAAAATTCAAAAAGGGCTGGGAGGCCCAGAGATTTAGCTCAGTGGTTTCGCCTCCTGCTGCACAAGCGCAAGGATCCAAGTTCAATCCCCAGTACCAAAAAAAAAAGGCTGGGAATATAACTCAGTTTAAAGGCCCAGTACCACTACCACCCATACACACACACAAACTCTTCATTGCATGTGAGATGACTCTTTTTTTGTTCTAAGGATCAGACCCATGGGTGCTGTGCCACTGAGCTACATCCCCAACCCCTTTTTATGTTTTCGAGACTGGATCTTGCTAAATTGTGCAGGTAGAATTTGAACTTGCCGTCTTTCTGCCTCAAATTCCCAACGTGCTGGGTGCCACCACACCTGCTTCAGTATTTTAAACATTTATATGCGAGCCAGGGATTTAGCTCAGTGGTTACGCCTCCTGCTTCGCAAGCGCAAGGACCCGAATTTGACCCCCAGTACCAAAAACCCCACATTTATATGCTAATGAGAAAACTTGGCAGTCCCCACACTCTAATTGTGAATCCTGATGTCATGGTTAGTATATGAGAAATACGCATCCTGAAATAGATGAAATAGCTGGGCATTGCAGTCCACACATACAACCCCAGCACTTGGGAGACTGAGGCTACATGGTAAGATTTTACCTTTAAAAAAAAAAAAGAAATAGTATAAAATGAATTAAAAATACACTTTGTAACTTGCTGCTGGTCCTACCTTGGCTTTGTATATTGTGTAGGACAAAATACATTAGTTCCCTGTCTCATTTAGAAAAGGGAGCTTCTTTGAGATACAGGGCCACCCCAGACTCCTGTGTCTTTATAACTTGATACATGCATGTTTAGAGGGTATTGGTTAGTTCAGGGTGTGGAGGATAATTTGACCTGGCTGCTTGGCCCTTGGGAAGGGATTTCTTTCTGGACTTGATTCCCTCCGCTAATGGATTGGTTATGTTCTCTTGACAGTTGTCACTGCTTGGGCTATGCTGATTATCCCCCATCTGCAGCAGAAAAAACAGGAATCCCAGGATGGGAGTTAGGGGCAGAGACTGCTCTTCCTAGGGTGACTTAGTTGTTCAGAAGTGGTGGTTGCAGGCCAGGCACAGTGTGGTACATGCCCTTAATCCCAATACTCTAGGAGGCTGAGACAGGAAAATTACAACTTTGAGCTCAGCCTAAGCAACTTAGGCTCAAATGAATGAACAATGAATGAATGAATCGCTGAAGATGTAGCTCCATTCAGTCCCCAGTATGAAAGAGGAGAAAACATTTGTGGTTGCCTCAAGAGAGGCATGTTAAAAAGCTTTTCATTTTGGGGGAAAGATGACCTGGCAGAACGTCAGCTCTCCCAGGTACAGCCATGAAAATGATGGTCCTTGCCTGTAAGAGGCTATTAATGACCAAAGGTGGAGCAAGTCCTAATGGCCCAGCTAGACTAGAAGACATCTGTTTGCTCCCTTTTGTAGGGAGGCAAGGAAACAGGTGGCACTGACATTGTTAGGCTTTTTCAAGCCTAGCTTTCTCCCAGACTGGCACAGCGTCCCCACCCATTCTAACCTGCCCAGGCCTGTGGCTGCTGCCCAGGGAGCCAAGGCTCCTCCCCAAACAAACTAAAATCTTGTGGACTTCGTAGTCTGGACTCAGCCTTTGTCCTACCGTGTCGTCTTCGGGACTAGGCTGGTGTCGGTCCCATGGCCTCCTACCATGGGGAGCCAGGGCTCCTGCCCTGTGGGTCCTGTGACATGGTTTTCCGCTCCTGGGGCCTGTTGGCCACCCACACTCAGCGCTTCTGCATTGGCCGCCTGACCAGGGAGGTGACTCTGGGAACAAAGCCCTCTACTGAATCAGGGGGTATCTCGGTAAGGGCTGCATCCCTTTGGCCAGGGGTGGGTAGTCCACCAAGCCTGGACTGGGGTTCCTCATCTTAACAACCTCTGCCCCCAGGCTGTGTCACAAGAACTCCAGGGCCCCTTGGACCAGGAGGCCAGCAAATCTGCTCTAGAGAGGTTAAGAGAGGAGGTAACCACCCACCCACCCTTCCTTCCCAGGGCTACAAATTTGGAATCTCCCCTCGTACATGTAGACCATACGAGGGAAACAGTGCCCCAACACACTGACCGTGGGTCACTGTTACCTCCAGGTACAGTGGCTGCGGCTGGCCCTGCAGGAAATAAGACCCCAGATAGCAGAGGGCCCCTCCTCTGAGGCTGCCGGGAGCCCTGGGCAGCGGCTTCAGGCACTGCATGGGACTCATGCCAGACGCAGGGTGCAGACTGAAGCACAGGGCCGGGCCCTGGAACAACGAAGTGCAGGTGAGGGAGTACAGGGAGCCAGGGATCCGCTCAGTCTCTCATCACCAGGCCACACTTGTTTTGACTCAGTCTCTTACTCCCTCAGAACTGAGCCTGCGCCTCCAAGGTTTGGCCCGGGTCCGGGGTGGAATACCTTACCTCTTACGCCTGGCACAAGAGCTTCGAGAGCTTCGGGCCGAAGCAGGGCGGACCAGAGGAGCTCTAGAGGTGTTTGGGGCACGCGTTCAAGAGCTTGAGCCCCAAATAGGGTGAGACCCTGGCAGAGCAAGGCGGTGGCGGCGGATTAGGGCCAGGCCCATGGGGATCTGTGACGTTGTCTCCTTGCGCCAGAACCCGGTCAAACACCCTGCCAGAAGCTGAGCTGTATTGGCCTGCGCTGCAAGCTAATGCAGGGAGCCTAGCTGCTGAGATTGGGTGAGGACCGCAGCACGGGACAGGCACAGGGACAGCACTGATCAGTCCTGTTAAGACTTTCTGTCCCCCTCCACACACACACTCCTTAGGACCCTATGTGAGGTTTACATTCGAGGTGGGGGCCGAGACCCTGGTGTTCTGAGCAAGATGCGGCAGTTGCAAGCAGAGGCATCAGCGCTGGAGCTTCGGAGGTTGCAGAACCGCAGGGGTGAACAGGAGGGGGCCTGCCTGGAGGGTCTTTCAGCAAGGGTAGTCTCAGTCCTGGGTGGAGAAAAGGGTGGGAGGGGGCTTCTCAGTGGTTTGGGAGCCACCTGAGCAAAAGCCCTGAGGCTGGAAACCTGGGTGACTGTAGCTAGAATCTGAATTGCTAAATCTAGGCTTGTCCAGAGAGCTGCTCAGGGCATACCTGGCTGGTCACCAGAGGTGAGAGGTGACAAGTCAGACTTGTTCATCTCAGAAAAGGCAGGCACTGCCTCAGGGCAGCTTCTGGTAATAGAAGAGGAAAACCAGTGCCTGGAGGCAGAAATTCTGGCCTTGCAGATGCAGAAGGGCCTGGGCCAAGCACTCAGAGGTAAGTGAGCACCCCAACCGTAGCCCATCCTAACAGGGTCAGCTCAGAACAGGTTGGAGGGATCCTGCATGGTGAATGAGACCCATGTTTGTCAGTTCAAGTCCATACATTTGTACATGAGTCCCAGGACTTAGCTCAATTACCTCCACCCTCTGGTGCAGGGATGCCCTAACTCTTACAATGTTCCTAACAATGTTCCTAGGCCCTGGGAAGCCACGACTCCTGCAGGGAAGAGACGCCCCACTCCTCCCTCCACCAGTAGCATCCCCATTGCCACCACTTCCAGGCTCCACAAACTTCCAGTTCTTGGGCAGTGCAGAAAAGGTTGTGAGAACCCAAGGGTGGGGAGGGGAATGGGGTATCAGGATCGGCTGTGTTCTGTGCATTTCTGGGGGAGGCAGGTGCCACTAGAAAGCTTTCTGGAGGACTTACTTAACTCTTCCCCACAGCCACTACTTCCTGGAACCATGACCAGGAACCTGGGCCTGGACCCATACATTCTGCCCACATCTGATGTGCTGGGCCCTGCACCCTATGACCCTGGGTGAGGCCAGCTCCCTCCTTGGACAGCCTCTGACTTGGCCACTACTGACCATTAAAGGAGATCCAGTAGGGCTAAGTTTGGAGGAACTTGCAAGGTGGAGGGAGGGTGGAGGGAGTTTGGTGTTTGTGTGCTTAAGACTTGTGACCATCAGGGCTGGCCTGGTTATTTTCTATGACTTCCTGCGAGGACTTGAGGCTTCTTGGATTTGGGTACAGCTAATGACTGCCTTGACCCGAGACGGACAGGACACAGGAGGGACCACAGCATTGCCCCCAGCCCTTTGCTTACCCTCACCTTCAACTCCTGGGCCTACGGGCAACTGTGCCATCCTTGCTAGCAGGCAGCCTGTACCCAGGTCAGTAAATGGGGGTTATGACTTTGGTGCTCTTGGCCAGTTAAGGCTGATTTCTCATCCTGCTAAGCTTTCTCCTATGTATACAGGGGCCATTGGTCCCAAGGGCTGTTACTAGGGACTTCGGGTCTGGCTTCTGACACCTCTTTGGGGTTGTTCTACAGACTGCCCCCATCACCTTTGGTATCCTTGGTCTGTGAGCTACAAGCCTGGCAGGGGCTCCCATGGGTTAGGACACCACAGCCAAAGGCTTGGGCCTCACTGCCGCTATTTGATCGAGATCTGAGGGTACTAAGTGGCCACTGGCGCCTCCCACTTCGGGCCCTTCCTCTGGACTCCAGCCTCAGCCTAAGGCAGCAGAATGGGATTCCCCAGGTGAGTGTGGAGGGTGGGGGCTGGGTGTGCTCTAAGGTGCAGATGGAGTATCACTGCACATCTGTCTCCCCAGGCAGGCCAAGCTGAGCTCTTTCTTCGGCTGGTGAATTCGAGAGATGCGGCTCTCCAGATATTGACAGAGATCAGTCCAGCTAGTGCCCACCAGTACCAGTACCCACCACTGGTGAGGACCCAACTATAGCAAGATACAAGATGTGGGCAACTTTTGTTAAGCACTATTCAAAAACATCACTACCAGATGTTTTCTGTGTATTAACTCACTTGATCTTCACATTTCCTAGCTAAGTTACCCTAACACATAAAGAACTGTGAACTAAGCTAACCTCACCCTTTGATTTCATTAATTTGGCTCACAAGTTCAAACTCCAAAACCTGTGCTCCTTACTTCTAGTCTTGTTAAAGACCTGCTTTCTCCTGTTCCACAGGTATCCAGCTCATCTTCACTGGAAGCCACCTCCTGCACACCTAAAGTTGGCTCTACTGATCCACTTCCTGCAGAACAGCCTTTGGCACCATGAAGGACAAAGATGAGGGGTTAGGGCCTCATCACAGCTCTGACCCAGATCTGCCAGGTTTCTGAGCCAAGGTGAATGTGAGGCTTATTCCCAAATCTTACTCCGTGTTCTAACATAGGGACTAGAGGCAAATAAACAGAAAACTCCTGCACTTGCACTTTTGTAAAAGAGTAAAGATTTAATGACTCATATATATTATCACCTGGGTTTTTCTGAAAGGTGACTAAGTTTTGCTAAAGCCAGCTTTATTGTCAAACTTCATTCAAATCCAAGCTTCCTTAAGACCTCCGCTCAGAAGCCTTTCGGCTCTCAATTTTGAGATGTGCCCACGAATGGGGCTTCCAGGATGGGCCCTCAGCCCAATGATGTTCCAGCCAAGTAGGCAGTCACATGCTGAAATTTCATATTGGGCCTAGGCCCAGATCCCAGTGTCACCAGAGGTGGTCAAGGGCCTGGGGGTCAACCATGTCATGTATGTCCTACCTTCTCCCCCCCAAAAGTGGGAAAAAAGCCTTAGGACCTGAAACATGCAACACTAGGCATCTTTAAGAAGGAAGTTCAAGTCAGGCTTGGTGAGACATACCTGTAATCCCAGCACTCAGGAGACTAAGGCAGGATTGCTGTTTGAGGCCAGCCTGAACTAGTGAGACCCTGCCTCAAAAAAAAAAAAATTCAGTCAGGATAAGCCAGATTCTGCAGGCATGAGATAGTGGCCAGCCCAGGAGCATTTTTTTTTTTGGACAGTGTCTTGCTCTGGTAGTTCAGGCTATCCTTGAGCTCACTAGCAGCCCAGGCTGGCCTAGAACTCACGGCAATCCTCCTGCCTCAGCCTCCCAAGTGCTGGGATTGCCAGTATAAAACCATGCCAGACTTTCTTGTATTTATTTTGAAAACAAAAAATGACAGGAATTCAACACAGCTGTCATCTACAGTGAATTGTTAAAACCACAGATTCCAACTTGCTGCTACATACAGCAAGTAGGGAGGCATTGTTTGGAATTCACATACTGCCTGATCCATAAAAATAAGTTCTAATAAAGAGATGGTTGGCTCATTCAGGGTCTTTTCACATCACATGGCCTGTATCCTGGACATCTGAGAGAACCCAATGGGACAGCATTGGTATGAGTGCCCTGACCACCGTGGAACACACAGAACTGCTGGGCCAGTTTGTGCTTTTTAATTTCATGCAATGAAATGTTCTAGTCACCTCAGGATCCCACAATAAAAGCTTTAAACATAATTCCAGACCAGTAACTTTTTATTAGCATCTTTATTTTGAGAATTTAAAACTGCAGACAGGTAACAATTCCAAGTGTTGATATATTTCAACCTTTACAGAAAAAAAAATTTATATATATGTATATATATAACTTTCTCACAGATTCTTCCAATCATATCCAAGTGCCCACCACACTTAGCCTCTTTCCCAGAGAGCTCATTTCTCCAATTAAACATGCTGTTTTCCTCAGGGATCTCCTGCACCCAAGTTTTCTTCACAATTCTTTCCCGGACAGGATAATGGCTCTAGCTGGAGACAGGGTGAACAGACAACAAGTAGCAACCAAGGCCTGGTTCACAAAGTCCATCATCCATTTTCAGCACCGAACAGCAAGATCTTCCTCAAGTCTTGTGTGTTAGCCCCCAGCAGAGGACAGCACCACTGAAAGTTCGCAAGACTGCTAAGTTCAGTAAAGTATTTGACAGTAAATATATAGCACCGAATAGAGGATGAAGGGGCTATATGGCCCACACTTGCAAATCATCGCCTCCACAGTTAGCCTGGAGTTGGGGTTATAACTTCCAACACACAGATGGATACACAGGGAGAAAACATGAAACCACAAAATTTTGGACACTTTATAAAATCTAGAGTCTCCCACGGCACAGATTTAGCCAATATTTAAGAAAAAAGCCATCAAAGCCTCAACCTTTGCTTACCATCTTTATTGAAGTTATACAAAAAGAATCCCCAAAAGTGAAAAAATACATTATATACAAAAACACTTTCCCCTGGGAGGAAGGTTCTGCTCCCTTAACACGCAGTGGTTTCAACTGCAGCTCCAGCCTCCACTGTCACCTCCACTGTGGCCCGGCTGTCAGCCTGTTTCTCAGCCTGGAAGACAAATAGGGAGCCTGGGCATAAGTGATCCTGGCTTAAGCCAGTCCATCTTACACAAGCAGAGGAAGTGAACACAGGCCCCCACCTCACAGCAGTTACTGTAATAGGGCTGACAAACCAATAATCATATACTACATGGAAAAGAGCCAGCAGAAATGACTAAGTTTTGCTAATGATTCAAGTGCCTCCTCATACATTCATCAGAGGACCTGTGGTGCACGACAATGAGACACCTATTTACTGTACTCCCTAACCAAACTGTTACCTGCACAGCCATTGTTCTGAGGGCTGCACTAAAACAATCCAAACAGGCTCAGGATGGGGAGCACACATTTGGTAAGACTGGTTTCCCCAGGCCCTGAGAACAAGGGGATGAGGCAAGAGGCCAAGTCCACGTTAACTGCCCACCTCCTCCTCCATGTTTTCCGAAACTTCATTTCCACTGGTGACCACATCTCCGCTGCCTCCATTGACTTCCGGCTCTTGTTTGGCTTTCTTTGCATCATCCTTCTGGGGACAATCTTCCTCTGGTTTCCTCTAAAGATAACAAGTGTGAAGAAGACTTCACAAATGTGCTTAAATATTTTTTAAAAGTCAACTGGGGCCGGGGATTTAGCTCAGTGGTTTTGCCGCCTGCTGCACAAGCACAAGGACCCAAGTTCGATCCCCAGTACAAAAAAAAACAGCGATAAGCTGGGAGTGGTGGCACATGCCTGTATCCCAGCACTTGGGAGACTGAGGCAGGAGGATTGCCTTGACTTAGAGAGGCCAGCCTGGACTACATAGTGAGACCCTGTCTTAAAAAACAACAACAACAAAAGAAAACCTGTAGAACACTTACAACCCCTGTGGTGCAAAGATCCTAAACACCAAGACTCAGCTCTAAGAGTCGCCCTAGCCAAAACAGGGATGTGCCAACCTGTACCCTGTATAAACTGGTCTGTCCCAATATATCAACTCAGCTTCCCTACCAGTCACAGTGGGATACAGTAAGAGGTAGAACTGTGAACAGTAACGAAGTGTAAAACATTTGAGCCAGGAAACAAAGCAGGAGTGTGGACTCTCCCATAGAGGAATTAATCACAGAATTATGAGCAGTAGGTAGAGGCTGATGGGAGTTTTAAGTATCAGCAGGCCTGTCACTAAACAAATTCTGCCAAAGCAAACCTTCCAGCTTCCTAAAATGCACCCAACTGATGAATCCTTCCTGTTAGTCTTTGGGCAAAGGCCACAAGAGTTTGATGGGTAGGTTAAGATATTGGAGTGCTGTCTTCACTCCCCAATCATCATGTCAAATAAGTGTCTTGCTACATCATTAGGAGGGTTTACAAGGACAGCTGTTCTTTGTGTATTATTTGGGACACCAGAAAAGGCAGACTGAGAAAAATAAAAGAAATAAGCACATGTAGGTTTTACCTTCTTTCTGACAAGGTGAGAAATATCAGTCACACAATTTGATGAGGATGCACCATCTGTTGTTCTTCTACTGGCAATCTGGCAAAAAAGAAGCCTCTGTTAGCAATGTACAAGTATATGAAACCAGCAGTGAGGCCTAATATTAAATGGCCAAAAGAAACCCTCAATACCCACCATGGAGACTGAAGAGCCTCCCCTACTAGGAGTGAAACCTGAAGTAGAGCTCTCCACCTGTGTGAGAGATGACAAATCAAAGCAGGTCCCAACACAGAACCCAGGCCACCCAGTCTTAACAAGTACCGTGCCCATCATCTAAGCACCTAAGACCTGAATGCTAGTGTCCTCCATTATGGTAGCAAGATCTTCCACACCCATACTACTAAGGTATTAAACTAAATCTTCCATATCCTTGCTACAAGACAGACAGTTCCTGACATCCTGGCAGCACAGCCTGGCCACCTGGGGTCAGTCCTCAAAGAGGCACAAATCTATATAAGTACTATCCTCAGAAACAATAGCTTTATTTATTAAGCAATTCCTATCTGTCTGGTACGGTCTAAAGTAATTTACACATTGTATTATCATTTCTATTTTATAGATAAGTCAAAGAAGCAGAGAGCTGAATGCCCATGGTCACACACACTATAGCACAGATGGAATTTAAACCCAGTCCAGCTCTAGAGCCTATTGTCTATTACCATAGGAATAATGAGATGAACGCTCCCATTCTCTCTGATCACCAACACCCAGGAATCCAAGTCACAACAAAAGTTCTTAGGCAAGGGCCGGGGACTTAGCTCAGTGGTTCCACCGCCTGCCTCGCAAGCGCAAGGTCCCCAGTTTGATCCCCAGTACAAAAAGAAAAGTTCTTAGGCAAATGGAACATTAATAGTACCAAACATGCTGTTTAAAAAACTTTAAAAGGGAACTCGGGCAGGAATACAGCTCAGTGGCACAGCGCCTGCCTGGCAAGTGTGAGGCCCTGAGTTCAATTCCCAGTACCAAAAAAAAAAAGGAAACTGAACAAACCAGAGTAGCTTTCAGCGCCAATTCAGCTACATTTCCACTACGCTGGGACTCCTTTGCATCTTCTATCTTCTCTCTGATTTCAGGTAGCAGTTCCTTCAACTCCTCAATTTCTTTCTCATATTCAGTAGATGATCCTTCAGCCTCCTTTATCTGCTCGTTTAGTACAACTACAAAGAATAGGCTAAAGTGATCAGTAACAATTACCACAAAAGTATCTGTTTTTAACCTTTTCCATTACTGGATCAGTATTATCATGAAGCAGCTGCTTCTCACTCACCCATTCTCTTCTCAATGACTTCAATAGATTTGCTAAACTGCGCCACTGCCTCATCATACTGAGAGTTGTATCCATAGGCCAAGCCCAGCTGGTAGTGAGTCTCTGCAAGGAGACGGTCATGGGCTTCCAAGTACTGCTCCTGCAGGGTCAGGCAGGCCTGGAACTCCTCCACAGCCTGGATGTAGTTCTCTAGTGAAGACAGAATCAACAACAAGAATTGAGGAGCCAGGGATTTAGCTCAGTGGCACCGTGTCTGCCTCACAAGCACGAGGTCCTGAGATTGATCCCCGGGTACGAGGGTGGGGGCAGGGTGTTGGGGATTGGGGAGCATTTTACAAAGTATTTGTAATATTCAAACCCATTCTATAGAAATGCTTCATTTTACACTTCATTTTTTGTTTTTAGTATCTACAGGATGCTTGGCCATACAGAATGACAAATTAACTTTTAAAAACAAACTACAAGCGCAAGGACCCAAGTTTGATCCCCGGAACCAAAAAAAAAAAAAACAAACTACAGAAAGGGCTGGGGGTTACAGCTGAGTGGCAGAGCACATGCTGAAGCATGTATGTGCAAGGCCCTGGCTTTGAGCCCCAGCACCAAAAACAAAACAACCCACTGAGATGCTCAGATTATATCACTATTCTAGAGGACTATGAAGAGGTCAAATCTATTGTTGTTTTAAAGCCAACCATCTAGCTATGATCAATCAAGCTGGACTCTAGAAAATAACTCTTAGTAGGGAAAATGGGGTATGAAGGAGGCTGGAGAAAAGAATAAGATGGAAAAAGCATTACCAGATTCAACACTAACTTCTCCAAGTTTAAGATGTGCCTGTGCAGCATAAAGCTGAGCTTCTTTTGTTTCTTGCCTAGAAGGAGGAAAGTTGATCAGAAATAGCACTTGTCATCCTGTTTTCAATTTCCAATCCTCAAACTCCCAATCTGAAGGTGGAAGCACGGAGTTTTACCTTTTAAAAATTATCTTTGCTAAGTCCAGCATATCCCAGGCAAGCTCTAGGTTCCCAATGTCCTCCTCTTCACTTTCTTGAAGAGACTAAAGCATATCCAAATTATTGGTAATAGGCAGAATTACGACAGGTGTCATTTTAGAGTAAGAATGTAAATGTATAGTTTAGTAAGGCTTGACGGGGGGTAGGGGAGGAGGTGGTGTTCAGACTTTATCCTAAATCATCAAATTAATGTAAAAGCAGATGTTGAGCACTGTCCTCACAGACATGACCCTCTGGGATCCAACATCTCTGTCTATTGTAACTATGAGTAAAGGGTCCCAATGTCTAACCAAAAACCAGCTGTCTTCAGACAGTCTATACTACTAAGTCCTACAATTAAAAAAGCAGATAACTGGGGCCAGGGATTTAGCTCAGTGATTCCGTCAC